AGCAGGAATCCAAGGGCAGCTACGGGGCCCGCAGAGGCCACTGGCGCCGCCTCGGTCGGCCCTTCCCACGTGGTGAGGACCCCAGGGCTGAGGCCAGAAGGTGCTTGAGGTGCGAGGCTGCGTGGCGTTGCCATGGAAACAGCGGAGGCGTGCGGGGAAGGGCCAGGCGGGCAGCGGGAGAGGGGAACCACGGGTTGAGAACAAAAGAGCAGAGATGGAGCCCAATTTTCGGGATAGAAACATGATGTGATGTGGGGGTCAATAGGTGTCCTTCTGAGGGAGGGTCGGAGAGGTCAAGGGGGAGGAATTGCAGCCATTGAGTGTCAGTCACTAAGAAGGGTTTGACGTGGGGCCTCATGAGTTGATCCCTGGTTTTCATAATCTCAGGACTCCCCCACCCCCACCCCAACAGGTTCCCCTGCCATAAGGATGACAGTCCTAGGGCACCCTCGAAGTTGGAACTGTCAGTGGTTGCCACTCATGCTGCTGCTGGGCACAGGCCATGAGCCAGAGGTGGAAGGTGTGACACACTACAAGGCCGGCGACCCCGTCATTCTATATGTGAACAAAGTGGGACCTTACCATAACCCTCAGGAGACTTACCACTACTATCAGCTTCCAGTCTGCTGCCCTGAGAAGATACGCCACAAAAGCCTTAGCCTGGGTGAAGTATTGGATGGTGACCGAATGGCTGAGTCTTTGTATGAGATCCGCTTTCGGGAGAATGCGGAAAGGAGAATTCTGTGCCACATGCAGCTTAGTTCTGCACAGGTCAGCCTCTCTGTGTTGGCTAGAACTTAGCCCTGCCTCCTAGGGACTAATAAGAGTGCCTCACATTTATAGTTTTCAAAGCATCTTTATGGAAATGATCTGACTTGATTCTCACTACAAACCCATGTGGCAGGCAGGGCAGGTGGTAGTATTTGCAGTCAGCTGAAGAAACATACTTGCTCAGAGGTGACTTTTTCAAGACTGCATGGATAGATAGTCCAGGGCTCCTGACTCTAAACTTCTCTGCTGGTAATAAGTTCCAAACTATCACTGCTACATTGTTATTTCCTTCCATACCTACGATTTGGCCGTTTCTTAACTGGCTCCTTTACACTCTACCTAATCATCCCTGTCAGGCTTTTTTTCTTTAGCAAATCTTATCTTAGGGCACTTTTCTCTATTCTTCTCCAGACCTTCTCATACCTTGCCTCTCTCCTTTTTCTAGTCATACGTGCTCTTTTTGGAGAATCCTAACATATTAGGGTCTAACCTATTGGTTCTCAACAGGGGCAATTTTGTCTCCCAGGGGACATTTGGCACTGTCTGGAGATACTGAGATATCACTATTGACGGATGCTACTGATATCTAGTGAGAAGCCAGGGATGATGTATCTTACAATGCACAGGACAGCCCCTAACAACAAAGAATTATCCAGCCCCAAATATCAGTAGTGCTGAGGTTAAGAAACCCTGCCCTAACCCGACGCTTGAGGCCTTGTCTGATTCCTGACTCACTCTTTGTAGGTGGAACAGCTCCGCCAGGCCATTGAGGAATTGTACTACTTTGAATTTGTGGTGGACGACTTGCCACTCCGTGGCTTTGTGGGCTACATGGAGGAGAGTGGCTTCCTGCCTCACAGCCACAAGATAGGACTCTGGACCCATTTGGACTTCCACCTAGAATTTCATGGAGATCGAATCATATTTGCCAACGTCTCAGTGAGGGATGTCAAGCCCCACAGTTTAGATGGGTTACGACCTGATGAGTTCCTAGGCCTCACACACACTTACAGTGTGCGCTGGTCTGAGACTTCAGTGGAGCGTCGGAGTGATAGGCGCCGTGGTGATGATGGGGGTTTCTTTCCCCGAACACTGGAAATTCATTGGTTGTCCATCATCAATTCCATGGTGCTTGTGTTTCTACTGGTGGGTTTTGTGGCTGTCATTCTCATGCGTGTGCTTCGGAACGACCTGGCTCGGTACAACTTGGATGAGGAGACAACCTCTGCAGGTTCTGTTGATGACTTTGACCAAGGTGACAATGGCTGGAAAATTATCCATACAGATGTCTTCCGTTTCCCTCCATACCGTGGTCTGCTCTGTGCTGTGCTTGGTGTGGGTGCCCAGTTCCTGGCCCTTGGCACTGGTGAGGTGATCAAAATTAATCAGGGATTTCTCTCAAGGGTTAAATTTAAGTAGGTGATTTGTTCAGAAAAGATCTGCAGAGTTCTTCTGTCCAAGGTGAGGGGCAGACCTGGGGGATGGGGTGGCTCTAGCAAGGATGTGTGTATCCTACTGTGGGTTTTCTGGACAATGGAGTTGTGAGATAGTGTTTTGCTGGAGGCCTTGGGTCTGGAAGAAAGGGGGCTAATTCCTCTGAAGTTGCCAGAAGAGGGATAGGTGAGACCTAACATAGACTTTCCACTACCACCCTACAGGCATTATTGTCATGGCGCTGCTGGGGATGTTCAATGTGCACCGTCATGGGGCCATTAACTCAGCAGCCATCTTGTTGTATGCCCTGACCTGCTGCATCTCTGGCTACGTGTCCAGCCACTTCTACCGGCAGATCGGAGGCGAGCGTTGGGTGTGGAACATCATTCTCACCACCAGTCTCTTCTCTGGTGAGAACTGCCCTTTCCCTGGTGGACCAACTTAGGAATTTAGAGCGCATCATGGAACTTGGGATAGAGTCAGAGTGAGGCTTTAAAAGAATGAAAATAGGCCAAAGAAAACCATTCAAAAGACAAGAATACATTTCTTTTGCATAGTTAAAATTATTAAGCCCTTAAAATGTCCTAGGCAGCATGGTAGACACTCAACATACCTTCATCTCATTTAATCTTAATAATAACTGTATGCAATAGATAATATTGTCGCCATTTTACAGATGAGGAAATTGAATTTTGTGCTAGTTAAGTAACTTGCCTGAGATTAAACTCCTAAAAAGTAGTGAACCAGGTTTCAGACTCAGGCAGTCTGACTCTAGAGCCTGCATTCTCAACCATTATATTGAAATAATACTCTCAAATTTAGTTTTTGATATTCCTCCTTTTTTTAAATTTATTTTTGAGATGGGCTACCCCACTCTAGCCTTTAAGCTAGCTTGTCTTTTCAAAAGCAGTAGTTGCATTCTAAACCTTTTATGGTCCCAATGCTAAGGGTCTGATTTATATTCTATCACATTTGTTTGAACCAGGGCTTTCTGTAAACAGGGCCTTAATCCAAAGGAATGTCTCATGCTAGGAATCATTGAAGCCACAGCAGAACAGGCCCTTGGAAGCACATGGATTTGTGTCACTCTTAGATCGTTATGTAAAGCTGTCTTGATCTTTAATGATAATGAATAAGGGAGAAGTGTTGATAAGGAACCAGAAGTGGGAAACGAAGGGGCGGTGTCTGCCTGGGAACAGGATGTTTCACCCCTCTCCCGTTAGGTCCAGTCTGAGTGGATGCCCCCAGGGATGTAGCTCCTAGTGCTGACTCTCCCTTTGGGGGCCCATCCCTGCAGTGCCTTTCTTCCTGACATGGAGTGTGGTGAACTCGGTACATTGGGCCAATGGTTCGACACAGGCTCTGCCAGCCACCACCATCCTGCTGCTTCTGACAGTTTGGCTTCTGGTGGGCTTTCCCCTCACTATCATTGGAGGTATCTTTGGGAAGAACAACGCTAGCCCCTTTGATGCACCTTGTCGCACCAAGAACATCGCCCGAGAAATCCCGCCCCAGCCCTGGTACAAGTCTACTCTCATCCACATGACTGTTGGAGGTTTCCTGCCTTTCAGGTATTCTCCCTTTATTCCATGGCCATTGCTCACAGGTTCCCGACCTCAACTTTTCTTTTCCCCACTCACCCCGTACCCAAACCCAATGTCAGTGATAATCTCTGGTTCAGCTGTACTGTTAGGAGATCACTAAATGGTTCCTCCTTTCTTCAAGCAGGACTGAGCTTGAATCAGTTCAAACATGAGGGTGTCTCATTTATAAAGCTCTCCAGAGATATCGTTCCTTTCACCATTGTCCTGGTTTCTGACTTTAGTGTCTACAGGTAGCATGTGGGGCTTAAAGCCCATTTGATTACTCATTCAACTTGTTGAGTACCTCTTAGTGGCAGGCAGATAATACAATGGAAAATAAAAGACAAGATTCCCACTCCCAACCTATTAAAGAAGATGTTCTGAAAATGTAAGCAGCTAATCATAGGTAAAAGAATCCCCATCAAGCCAGGAATTCCAGGGCAGGGAGTGGAGTGGACCTACTTGCTACAGTGAACCAATAACATAGTTGGTGGCTGGACTTTGGTCCAGATACTGTGCTGGCAGTGCGCAGCCCTTTAATGCTGTGTCTCGTCTCTTCTCTTCACAGTGCCATCTCTGTGGAGCTGTACTACATCTTTGCCACAGTATGGGGTCGGGAGCAGTACACTTTGTATGGCATCCTCTTCTTTGTCTTCGCCATTCTGCTGAGTGTGGGGGCTTGCATCTCTATTGCTCTCACCTACTTCCAGTTGTCTGGGGAGGATTACCGGTGGTGGTGGCGCTCTGTGCTGAGTGTTGGCTCCACTGGGCTCTTCATCTTTCTCTACTCAGTTTTCTACTATGCCAGACGCTCCAACATGTCAGGGCCGGTACAGACAGTGGAGTTCTTTGGCTACTCCTTACTCACTGGTTATGTCTTCTTCCTCATGCTGGGCACCATCTCCTTTTTTTCTTCCCTAAAGTTCATCCGTTATATCTATGTTAACCTCAAGATGGACTAAGTTTTGGGTGGCAAAACTATTACTCCTGTCTCCCTTTTTTCACGCTCCATTTCTCTCTCTTATCAACATCTCTTCTGATTGTGCGATGGCGTTGTTGCCCTCCCCTTTGGGCCTCCCTTTTCCAGAGAGGGCCTGGAAATTATAAATCTCTATTATATAAGAAGTATATATTTGAACTTTTTAAGTTGCCTTTAGGTTTGGCCCTGACTTTTCTTTTTACAATTATCAAAATAAAATTTGTTAAGAAAAAGGATCCTGTAGTTGGAGGGTTTGGTCTGGATATAGGAACTCGAACCCTGCCGTTAAGGGCAGTGACCCTTAGAAAGCTGGGTTGGCCGCGTTATGCACGGAATTCAAGTTTTCCACAGAGCTTGGGAACTCTCGGCTGGAGGAACCTACATCTCCAGGGCGCCGTTTCCGCTCAGCAGCGCTCAGCCGGGCTCAGCCCAACGGAAGCGGCAGGGCCACAGCTCTTTGTGGGAAGCGAATTGAATCACCCTGGCGACGGGAGGGGCGCGGCGCAACGCCCTTTCCGCCGGAAGTGGGTTTCAGAGCCTCCACGTGCGGTCCCTCCCCGCGCTCCCCGCCGTGTAGCGGTGGCTCGGCTGCTACCATGGAGCCTGCGGGCCTGGAGCGGATCCTGCGGGAGCTGCTGTTGCCGGACACCGAGCGTATCCGCCGGGTACGGGGCAGGCGCAGCCGGGGCGAGCGGGAGGTTGCGGAGAAGTCCTGATTCTGATCCCCAGCCTCTCCCCAGGCCACCGAGCAGCTCCAGGTCGCTCTTCGGGACCCCGCCTCTCTGCCGGCGCTCTGCGACCTGCTGGCCTCGGCGGCAGACCCTCAGGTGAAGCTCCTGCCCCTTCTCGCTGAGCTTCCCACAGTACGCCACTGGTCAAGCCCCAGTTCCTGCCAGGACCCTCACATGCCTGTCTCCTTGTCCCAGATCCGCCAGTTCGCAGCCTTGCTGACCCGCAGACGACTGAACGCCCGCTGGCGACGGCTGGCAGAGGAGCACCGGGAGAGGTGGGCAGGGCCAGGGGCGGGGCGGGGCGGGGCCAGGCGGAGATGGGCAGACCAAGTACCAAACACCTGCCACCTGTGTTCCAGCCTCAAGTCCCTGGTCCTAACGGCCCTCCAGAGAGAGACAGAGTAAGTGCCTATCCGCCTTTTCGAGAGACCCTAAATGACTCCAGGCTGAGACCCTTTCTGGGTTTCTGTCTTCTCTTTCAGCTACAGGCTGGGACTTGGGGGGCAGGGACTTCAGTTTTAGACTAAGAGTGAAGCGAGGATTCTAAGCCTGTGTTGAAGACTAAAGTTCTTGAGAATGGGCTGTCAAAGAATGGAACCGAAATTCCCTCTGAGCCACTGTCTTATGTGTCCCAACTGGCAAAGATTCTGCGCTCTCACCCGGAGGTTTCTCTCCTGGCCACCCCATGGAGGCAGGGCCAGCATGTACAGGGAGGATACTGGAGGGTGATTGGGGGTCGGGGGAATCTTTCCTTTTTGCAGGCACAATGTGAGCCTTAGCTTGGCCCAGCTCTCAGCCACCATTTTTCGGAAGGAAGGCCTGGAGGCCTGGCCTCAGCTCATGCAGCTTCTTCAGCACAATACCCACAGCCCCCACATCCCTGAGAGAGAGGTACTATCACATGGTTGGTGGGAGGAAAGGACTGAGAGGCTCAATAGACCATGTAAGTTTTTCCCTTTCATTTCCACTCCTGGATAGATGGGGCTTTTGCTGCTAAGTGTAGTGGTGACCTCCCGGCCTGAGGCCTTCCGACCCCACCACCGGGAGCTTCTTCAGCTTCTGAATGAGACCCTTGGTGAGGTGGGCTCTCCTGGGCTCCTCTTCTACTCCCTGCGCACTCTGACCACCATGGCCCCTTACCTCGGCACTGATGATGTGGTGAGATGTGGGCCTTCACCTTCCCTGGCCCCCTGTCCTCAGGCCTTTATGTCCTCACCCTTGCAGGATACAGAACTACTTCAGATTCTTTCTTTGCCTTTTGTCCTTCCTAGCAATTGAGAGGGGCTACTGTGGGTGGCTGTGCCTGGGCTCTTCCTGTGTCCAGGCTTTAAGGAAGCTGCCAGCTTCTGGGGCCTGAGACTAGACTGCATCATGCTTTCTGTGATTCAACTCATCCTATGTCCTCTAGCCTCTCGCACGGATGTTGGTGCCCAAGCTCATCATGGCCATGCAGACTCTGATTCTTGTAGATGAGGTGAGGGCATGTGGGCAGGAGCTCTGTTGGAAGGAGAGTGCAGGAGCATCCAGCCTGGTCCACTGAAGAAGAGCATGATAACCCTGTGATTTGTCTGTCTGTCTGGCAGGCAAAGGCCTGTGAGGCCATGGAGGCCCTGGATGAATTGCTGGAGTCAGAGGTGCCTGTCATCACCTCCCATCTCTCTGAGGTCCTCACATTCTGCCTGGAGGTGAGCCTGGGGTGGGCAGGGCCCTTGCTGCTTGTTCTGGATTTTCCTTGCCTGCCTCTAATTCACAGTAGTCTCTGGGCAGGTGGCTAGAAACATGGCTCTGGGCGATGCAATACGTGTACGTATTCTCTGCTGCCTCACTTTCTTGGTCAAAGTCAAGAGCAAGGTGAGTGCCCTCCCAAGTACACTACTCCACCCCCACCTCCTTCCCTCATCTCACTCCTGGGGCTTTTGACCATCTCAGGGTATCTAATGTACCTTAGCTAAGATATTCAAGACTTGGTCTGGCCTCACCCCAGCTTCTGGCTTGGAAATTGAGAATCATCTTCTGGACCCTTCTATGGTCTAAAAGCTGGAATTTTTAATGAATCCATCTTGAGAGCAGATTATCAGGAACACTGTTCCACCCTCCCTCTCAAGGCCTTACTAAAGAATCGTCTCCTGCCCTCCTTGCTGCATACCCTTTTCCCCATTATGGCTGCCGAGCCCCCTTTGGGCCAGCTGGATCCTGAGGATCAAGATTCAGAGGAGGAAGAGCTGGAGATTGGACTGTTGGGAGAGACACCCAAGCATTTCGCTGTACAGGTGGGATGTGGGACAAGGGCGGGGCAGGGTGTTAGGTGGCTATGGGAGGTTGGGAGGCAGAGATGGAGTCCAGCAAAGTCTCCCTGTCATTTCTCAGGTTGTGGACATGCTAGCACTACATTTGCCACCTGAGAAGCTCTGTCCTCTGCTGGTAAGTATGGTTCCATCCTTCCCGTTTCCATATCCCCAGGTGTACCTAATCACCCCGAAGCCAAGGATATTTGGGCCTTGGTGGGTGTAGAGGGTCCACTGTCAACAGGAATGGGCAGGCTTGTGCTGGAATTTCAAGAGACTGCCCTGTTCTCCCCTAGATGCCCATGCTAGAAGAGGCCTTGAGGAGTGAGAGCCCGTACCAGCGCAAGGCTGGGCTCCTGGTGCTGGCCGTGCTGTCTGATGGAGCTGGCGACCACATCAGGCAAAGGTGTTTATTCCCGTCCTGCAGTGAGGGTGGACCATGGGGAGGAGGACCACATGGTTCATGGTAGTCCTCGTCTGTGCTTGTTATTCATGCCTAATTATCAATAGTGTTTTTCTTCTACTCTCTAAAGTATCCTGGTTTGAAAGATAAATGGCTGTAGGGACCAGGGAGTGGTACTCACCATGTGATGACAGAGAATGCCTTGGTTTTCCCCGGGGAATCAGGAGAACAGCTCAGCCTAGGGCTCTCAGGCCTTAGCTCTCAGACTGTGCCCTCTTGTCCTTTCCCATCCAGGCTGTTGCCCCCGCTACTGCAGATCGTGTGCAAAGGCCTGGAGGACCCATCGCAAGTTGTGCGCAATGCTGCACTGTTTGCCCTGGGCCAGTTCTCAGAGAACCTACAGGTCAGCAGGGTTGAATGTGGATAGCCACCATTTCAGTTCCCACCTGTCCCAGGGACCAGCTTCTCTTCAGCTTCATCTCTCCAGGCACCCCTTCTGCTATTGGCACTTAGGTATGTGCCCTATGGTTGAGCCAACTCAGGGCCCACTCTTCTTTCTCCCAGCCTCATATCAGCAGCTATTCAGGGGAGGTGATGCCACTGCTCCTTGCCTACCTGAAGTCAGTGCCTCCTGGGCACACACACCACCTAGCCAAGGCCTGCTATGCCCTGGAGAATTTCGTGGAGAACCTAGGTAGTGATGGCATTTGGGGGTGCGAGGGAGGCAACAAGGCTGTATCTTTGGCTGAAGGGAGCAAGGTGTGCAACTCCCTGAACTACCACCTGTGGTGGGGAGAGGGATGTGGTGGGACCACAAGGATGGTCAGCTTGGAGGCAGGTGGGCCTTCAGTAAATAGGAGACCTGGGTTGGTTGTTAGAAGGCTGCTCTTTCCCACAGGGCCCAAAGTACAGCCCTACCTTCCGGAGCTTATGGAGTGTATGCTACAGCCTCTGAGAAACACCAGCACCCCCCGGGCTAAGGAGCTGGCTGTGAGCGCCCTGGGGGCCATTGGTGAGGAGAAGGAGGCTGGAGATAGGGCACGGGGTTCTCCCAGAGAGCCTGTGGCGGGTGGTCCGGGCACCCCCTCCAGCTGGTTCTGTCTTTCCTATAGCCACGGCTGCCCAGGCCTCCCTTCTGCCCTACTTCCCCACCATCATGGAACACCTGCGGGAATTCCTGGTGACAGGCCATGAGGACCTTCAGCCTGTGCGGATCCAGAGCCTAGGTGAGGAAGGGGCTCCCAGGCAGGTCTCCCAGTGCCAGGAAAGGGCCGGTGCTCACCTGCTGTTCACAGAGACCTCTCCCAAGGCAGCACAGGCATCTGTCTTATCGAAGGAGGCACTCCTCCTGCACCTAGGAGCAAGCAGAATTTCTGAATTCTCCCAACTGCCACCTTTGGTCCGCCATTCCTCTGGCACAGCTCCTCATCCCAGTGCTAACCAAATCCTTGCCCCCACAGAGACACTAGGGGTGCTGGCACGAGCAGTGGGGGAGCCCATGAAGTCCCTGGCTGAGGAATGCTGTCAGCTGGGGCTGGGCCTGTGTGACCAGGTAGACGATCCTGATTTGCGGCGCTGCACGTGAGTGAGCCTTCACTTGCCCTCACCCCAAGCCCCAGTTATCTGGTTCTAGACCATAGGTTTCCCCCAGCTCCCTCATCCTATCCAACTACAGCAAACAGGAATGTACAGCTTCCACCTGCCTTCACCAGGTACAGCCTGTTTGCAGCCTTATCAGGGCTAATGGGTGAGGGCCTGGCACCCTACCTGCCACAAATTACCACACTCATGCTGTTGTCACTGCGTTCCACCGAGGGCATTGTGGTGAGCAGAGTGGGTGGGCTGGGCCGGTTGGGGAAGGTCAGCCCTGGGGTGAGACTTATCTCCTGGGCCCGGCTGAGCTAAAGTCCTTGCTGTGCCTCTTCTGTCCAGCCTCAGTATGATGGGAGCAGCTCCTTCCTTCTGTTTGATGATGAGAGTGATGGGGAGGAAGAGGAGGAACTCATGGATGAGGGCGAGGAAGAAGAGGATGACTCAGAGATCTCAGGGTATGGAAGGGTGCCATTCTAAGAGTGGTCAGAGGAATCTTAACTTTGGGCAAGGGCCCAGTGCTGGGCATGCTCCTGATGGAGCCTAATCACTGCTGCTCCCCACCTTACTGTAGGTACAGCGTGGAGAACGCCTTCTTCGATGAGAAGGAAGATGCCTGCGCTGCCCTGGGGGAGGTCTCTGTGAACACCAGGTGAGCACTGGCCCTTCCCTGGCACTGGGAACCCTACCTGCCACAAATTACCACACTCATGCTGTTGTCACTGCGTTCCACCGAGGGCATTGTGGTGAGCAGAGTGGGTGGGCTGGGCCGGTTGGGGAAGGTCAGCCCTGGGGTGAGACTTATCTCCTGGGCCCGGCTGAGCTAAAGTCCTTGCTGTGCCTCTTCTGTCCAGCCTCAGTATGATGGGAGCAGCTCCTTCCTTCTGTTTGATGATGAGAGTGATGGGGAGGAAGAGGAGGAACTCATGGATGAGGGCGAGGAAGAAGAGGATGACTCAGAGATCTCAGGGTATGGAAGGGTGCCATTCTAAGAGTGGTCAGAGGAATCTTAACTTTGGGCAAGGGCCCAGTGCTGGGCATGCTCCTGATGGAGCCTAATCACTGCTGCTCCCCACCTTACTGTAGGTACAGCGTGGAGAACGCCTTCTTCGATGAGAAGGAAGATGCCTGCGCTGCCCTGGGGGAGGTCTCTGTGAACACCAGGTGAGCACTGGCCCTTCCCTGGCACTGGGAAGCCCCCCAGAATCCCTTCCCCATGGCCGTGTTTCTGTCTACAGTGTGGCCTTCCTTCCTTACATGGAGAGTGTCTTTGAAGAAGTATTCAGACTTCTGGAGGTGAGTGGGCAGTGGGTGGGATTTCAGGGCTAGAGGCCCTGTGTTCTACCTGCACATAGCAAGTACATCCCGTCCCTCTCCATCCCACAGTGCCCTCACTTGAATGTACGCAAGGCAGCACATGAAGCCCTGGGTCAGTTCTGCTGTGCTCTGCATAAGGCCTGTCAAAGCAGCCCCTCAGAACCCAACACTGCTGGTGAGAAGGGCACTTGGGCCAGGCTGGGGCCTTTGTAAGTGGAGTGGGGTTGGGAGTGGGGGGACTGGCAGGGCCTGACCAGGGCTTCAGCCAATCATGTCCCCAGCTCTGCAGGCTGCCCTGGCCCAGGTGGTACCGTCCTACATGCAAGCAGTGTATGGGGAGCGGGAGCGCCAGGTGGTGATGGCTGTGCTAGAGGCCCTGACGGGAGTGCTGCGCAGCTGTGGGACTCTCACACTGCAGCCCCCTGGCCGCCTTGCTGAGCTCTGCAACATGCTAAAGGCTGTGCTGCAGAGGAAGGTGAGCGGGGCAAGTGGGCTTCAAGATGAGGAGGCGGCCTGGCCCCAGGTGGGGATCGTCAGAAGCTACAAATCCAGCTCTCCCATGCCCCCACCCTGTGGAAAGGAAAAGGGGCAGGAGAGCCTAGACTGAGCTAGACTACCTCTTTTTGCAGACTGCCTGTCAGGACACTGACGATGACGAGGAGGAAGATGAGGATCAGGTAAAAGCTATGGATGCAAATTGTGGGACCACACAGTCTGTTTGGTAGCTTCCATAGGGCAGAGTAGACAGTGCACTTGGGCTTGGCCTGGGAAGTCAGGTCTGCTAAAAGATTGGCAATGGCTCCGAATGACACAACCCTGCTCCCACTCAGGCAGTGGGGTTTGGGGTGGGCTTGGATTGATAGGTGAGCAGAGGAAGGCCAGAAGCAGCAGCTGGGCTGCAAAGAAGCCCAGCCTAGAAAGGTCTAGTCCTGTCACCAAGGGAAGTCCCCATGGGGACCACCAGCAGTAGAAGAGCATGATAGGAAGTACCACAGTCACAGATTTGACCCTGGTGCTTCAGCCTCTGACTTGGCCCCACAGGCTGAATACGATGCCATGTTGCTAGAGCATGCTGGTGAGGCCATCCCTGCCCTGGCATCCGTGGCTGGGGGAGATGCCTTTGCCCCCTTCTTTGCCGGCTTCTTACCATTATTGCTCTGCAAGACGGTGAGTGCACCGTCTTCTGGCTTTGAACCCCATTCCGCCCAATCCCCTGCTCTGTCCTAGTCCCAGACTGACTTGCACTCCTCCTCCCACCAGAAACAGGGCTGCACAGTGGCAGAGAAGTCCTTTGCGGTGGGGACACTGGCGGAGTCCATTCAGGGCCTGGGTGCCGCCTCAGCCCAGTTTGTGTCCCGCCTGCTCCCCGTGCTGCTGAGTGCCGCCCGGGAGGCAGACCCTGAGGTGCGGAGCAATGCCATCTTTGGGCTAGGTGTGCTGGCCGAGCATGGGGGCCGCCCTGCCCAGGAGTATCCTCTGCTCGCAGTAGGGGCCAGAGTGGCTTGAGAGTGTCCCTGGGGAATGGGAGACGTCTGCTGTATGTGCCTATTCCTTGACTGTGAACCAGTCACTTCTCCAAGCTGCTGGGGCTCCTGTTGCCTCTCCTGGCACGGGAGCGCCATGATCGTGTTCGTGACAACATCTGTGGGGCACTCGCCCGCCTACTGATGGCCAGTCCCACAAAAAAACCAGAGCCCCAGGTGAGTGATGGAGGTATTGGGCAGAGCCAGGAAGCCAGGGAGAGTGCGGGGCAAGGGGCCAGAACCATCTGTGTGTCCAGGTACTGGCTGCCCTGCTGCACGCCCTGCCACTGAAGGAGGACTTGGAGGAGTGGGTCACCATAGGGCACCTCTTCAGCTTCCTGTACCAAAGCAGCCCTGACCAGGTAACCCCGATGCTGGAGCTTGATGCTCCCTTCTCAGTGATAGGCAGAGTTGGCATCAGTTGTAGCTGAGGAAGTGATGGTTTAAGCTGCCCTTTGACTATCCATACCATTTTCTCATTGCTCTACAAGGACTGGCAGCCAGGCTTATGTGAGAGGAAGAGCTTCTCACCACAGAGCATTTTTCCTTAGGAGCCTTCATCCTGCCTGGCTGTTTTCAACTTCTGGTCTGAGCTAGAAGTCACAGCTTTCCTAGGCTGATTTCTTAGACCAAGCTCTTTCAGGCTGTGCTCCATGGAGCCTGGGTACCAGTCTGGGCCTCATCACTGTTCATTCCAATCAGAGCAACTCTGTTTTATGAATGAGATTTGCTTGTACCAAGTGGCTAGGCTGGGACCAATGGCTCAGAGCCCTGTGTCTGTCACCCTTGTTGTGCCACCCTTGTGTACTTTTAGAGACTATTGTGTCAGTGGAGCTCCTGGTTGTCTGGCTTTTGATCTTGAGTCCATGACTTCAGTCATCTTTGGTTATAATCCCCTGTCCTCTCCAAAAACAAAAAGTTTCACAATTGTCTTGGATGCCTGTGAATCAATATAGGCTCCAACACCCCTGGTAGGAGACTGCCTGTCCTTGGCCCCTACCACCCACCCCAGTCCTGGGGCCCAGGGGTGTTGCTACCCAAATTGGCCCTTCTTTTCCCACAGGTTGTAGATGTGGCTCCTGAGCTCCTGCGTATCTGCAGCCTCATTCAGGCTGACAATAAGATCCCACCAGGTGAGGGTAGCAGTTGTGGGCAGGGTGTGGGGAGGTGAGGAGCAACAGGGCTCAGTGAGCCTGGGGCAGCTAGGGGATGGGAGCCAGTTCTCCCTGGATCTCTCTCTCTCTCCACTATTCACCCAGACACCAAGGCTGCACTACTGCTGCTTCTGACATTCTTGGCCAAACAGCACACGGACAGCTTCCATTCGGCACTGGGCTCGCTGCCTAGCGACAAGGCTCAGGAGCTCCAGGACTTCCTAAGCCTCAACTAGAATGCGGGCTGCAGCCAGGCCAGAGGGAACAGCCTGCCCAAGCTCCAAGACCACCACTCAGCCCAGTTCCACCTCTTGCCTTACCAAAGATTCTGGGCCTCATACCCACTTGGGGTCCCAGCCCTGCTTGCTACCTTATGGTGCTGAGTCTGCTTTGCTGTGGGACAATACACAAAGGAGTCATGACAACATACTATAATAAAAGGCAGTTCATTTTCTGCTTGAACAGTAACTCTGAGATCAGGAAGGATAGAAATGCATGTTCAGAAAGGAGACAGGCAGGGCCTAGTGAGGCAGAACATGGTTTAATGTAGCTGGTTCTTGGCAGCTTTCTAACTTGATTCTAACTGCTGTGGAATCGTGGCCCTGGCTGAATCAGGAGGCGCCCGTATGGCTTCTCTTGTTCTATGCGAAGGATCTGCTGCGTTGCGAGCACTGGTCAAGAGGGGAAGAACAGGCTGGTCAGAGAGAGTCTTTACAAGTGTTCTCTGTATTGTGTGCCCTACACACATACATGCGTCCATACTCACCCAGGAGCAGGTAGAAGACCCGGGCAGCCACTCTGCGGGGACTGAGAGGTGACACCAGGCTGTTGAAATCAGGCTCCCTGTTGGCCTGTAGCTCCAGTGCCACTGCCCTGTAGGGATCAAGAACTGTTAGCCCCAGCCTAGGCCCACCCCACAGAGGCACCCCCTCCATGATACCTGTGCACAGCTTCAAGTGAGAGTAGCTCAGGCTCTGGGGGCAGCTCCAAAGGTATTTCCATGGGCACCTCAGGGAGTTCAGGCACCACAGGCAATGCAGGGGGCTCTGGCTGCTCTGCCTCAGCCCAGGCCCTAGAAGAACATGGGAGTCAGATGGAGCGAGGAAGTGGCAGCTGTGATGGTGTTAAGGGGTATACCCATCCTAGTCATTGCTCCACCTGACAAAGATTGCAGCCTGAGCTCACCCAGGCTAGCACTTACCACCGC